CACACACACACACACACACACACACACACACACACACACACACACACACACACACACACACACACACACACACCACACACACACACACACACACACACACACACACACACACCACACACACACACACACACACACACACACACACACACACACACACACACACACACACACACACACACACACACACACCACACACACACACACACACACACACACACACACACACACACACACACACACACACACACACACACACACACACACACACACACACACACACACACACACACACACACACACACACACACACACACACACACACACACACACACACACACACACACACACACACACACACACACACACACACACATTAAGGTTAATCAACATCTTGCCATGTCTACTTCTCCTTTGGGTTGTGACCCTACAGTGAGAAAGGTATATGAAGTGTTACTTCTGCTTTCTAATAAACACAATCTTGCAGCATGTGTATCTATTTGCACACTTCACTGTGCAAGTAATTCACCAAGAGAACATGTACAGGAACTAAACTTTCCATATCTTGTAAATGCACTTGAGATTAAATCATCTATTTGAATAGAAATCTGATATGATCGCCAAAACGTTTTCAACTATGCTCAGAATGTTAGGAGGACATTAGCCGGGTTTTTTGTATGGTCAGATTCCTTTTAAAAGAGCTTTTTAAAGTTGCTGCTTTGCATTCTTAGTACTTAGCAGCAGTATCAGAATACATGTAAAGGGATTACGTAATCAAAATACAAAAAAAAGTAACTTTACAGTCCCTTACAGTCATATAAAAAAAGAGTTATTATCAAATTACTGCTGAAGGTTTTAAATGGCATATCATTGAATATGGAATCCTAAGGCCTGTATTAAAAGGCAGTATTTGCATCTTTTTGGAAGTTCAGTAGATGAACAAATGGTGTGGTTGCTCTTAATCCATATACTGCACTGTAAAATGAGCATATTGTGTTTCTTTGATTCATTTGTTCTTTCTTTATTAAGTAGGTTAACCAATGAGTTTCAAAATAGTGTGGGTGTACCAAATACGGTGTATATTCGTGCAGTATGTATTGCTTTTGTAAACTGTGGTATGCGGTCATGTGTTTCGTCATTGGTCTTAACTCTTAAGACTACTGCATGAATTTGCTTGATGAAAGGCATCAACATATCTAGTTTTCTTCTCATTTAAGGTTACATTGTTCTATTATCTTACTGTATGTAACTCACTTAAGTTCTGATGTTTTTTTGACTTGTATTTACTTGTATTGCATTTGATAGTGTAATAATACCAAAATAACAGAAATAAATCATGTTTGAATAACTTTTTATAGTGTTACTTAGATTAAATTACCAGTTATACTTTTTTACAAGGACTTAGTAGTTGTAATGGAATATATTTGTTAACTTACCCTCCCAACAGTGCTGAGCACACAGTCCCAGCTTCACACCACTATATTAGGTCCTTACAATGGGGGTTCACTCCATCAGACCTGCCCAGCTGTGTATTACAGTGTTAACATGCAGGGACCTGTATTGGCTAACAGCCAGCCCAGGCACACGCCAAAGCCTGCTAGCACATTTGACCTGGACTGCTCCTCATCTCTGTCTTTTAGCGCTTCTACAATACCCCCACTCACACAGCTGCACACAAACACAGAGCTACCCACCAAACACAGCAAACACTATTAAGGGCTTCATATGGGAGTTTTGATCCACAGCTATTGCCTGGTGTCTCACTCCACAGGGTGTTTAGATCAATAGCAAAAAGAGAACTTAACAAGATCAAACGGCTTGCGCTTCCCACTTGGGCCTGGGAACATATGAAGCAGTGTGTGTGCACTCATAAAGATATACAACACACACAAACACATTAACACAACTCACTGAAATGCACCAGGATGGAACATATGTGGCTAGATGTTGACTAAGACAAAGCATCTTATAAAGGGTAAAGAAAACTAAGATTTGCCAGCTTTAGTGCGGCTTGCATACGCCAACAGATATGGAATTAGATTGATTGTAGTATAAAAATGTGTTTATATATGTCTGTCTTTAATCAGAGCTGATGCAGATCTATGTTTTTAAACAAATATGTTCAAGACTACACTAAATGGCTTCGGACTAAAGAAGTTTACTTTAATCTGAAATGCATTTAATGTATTACCCTGTATTTTCATTTGTAATGTGTGTGTTTTTTTTTTTTAATCCTACCTATTAATTCAGACAATGTACTATGGATAGGTTTTTAGGTAATTTGGTTAGGTCGTGTTTTTAAGTTTATAAATGTTTCTGTGTGATGCAAAAACTCCCTCCAGGTTTCGGGACCCCCTTGAAAACGAGATGGTGCATCTCAAGGGGTTTATCCCAATCAATAAAAAAAACATTTCTATATATATGTTAGAAATATGTATTGTAAAAACTCTGTTTAGTGTACGAGCGCCTATTCTAAAGCTTTGGATAGATAATTAGGGGGGCATATTTTCACATGTCAATTTTCTCTTGATTTTTACTAGTATGTTTTACTTTGGTGAATAAATAATTGAAATGATCTGAATTTAAGCTGTTCCTCAACAACAAACTGTCTGAACGCATGGCTACCTGCACAGGAGAAGTATGAGCAGTTAGTTGGGGTAACACCCACTAGGCACACCCTTAGGTATGGTTAGGGGTGAGTCATAGCATACACACCTACCTCATATTTCTGCACATCTCACAGCGAACTAACTTTGAACAAAGTCCAATTGGTGTCCCCTTCCTGGTTTGGGAAAACATACCTTGGTTCCCTGCTGAAATGTTATCTACTTAAATATTAAGTGGTGTTTTGAGGAGACAGTCACACAAAAGATAATGAAAGAATGTTATTATATTAAATTAAGTAGACAATACACTTTCAAAAGCGTGAGTGAGGTGTGTTTCTTTAGCCTGTGTTTACACTAAGGAAAAGAAAGGTATTAAAACGTTGTGAAAAGTACAATTGGGAGTGACGCAGTTCATATTAGTTTACCAGCAAATAAGTCATACACATAAAGAGGCTAATTAAACGTAAGACCATTCACGTCAGATACTTGACCACTTTAGCTGAATTGTATCACAACAATTGAAGTCAGTGTGTTTACCCAACACGTTGCTGTACGTCCGAGTGAGAGAAGAGCTTACCTGCAGGTGAAAAACAGGTGAAAACCTCAGGCATCATCCGCACACCTTTGCGCACTCGCCATGTCCAGGTTGTTTCACTCTGTTGACTGTCGCGAGCCCTCAGAACGTGCTCGCCTGTTTCCGCGGTGTGTTCGGTAACACCACGCCCATCTCAGTGCAGGACCAGTTGCAGAAGTACCTGCTACTAAACCTCTAAAATAGTATTAAGCTTTAAATTGTTAATATTGTGGTCTCCTTTGTTTTACGTAAGTCTGTTTGTAAAACAAAACAAGTATGCTATTGTGTCACCTGAGAACAGCAAAGTGTTCAGCACTTCGGATGTTTCCTGGGAACACACGCATGTCCCAGCTTGATCCTGAAGGCCTCGGGCTATGTATTCAGCACAGGCAGGAATGCAGGAGGATGCCTGGCTCAGTTAATGAAGTGAGTCCTGGAAACAAAAAACACATGTACTGTAGTTACATTGTTTTCATCAATCATTGTTAATGCATGATATTATTCTGATGACGGTAGTTGAATTAATATAGTATTGAGGCAGATACTGTATGACATGGAAATGTGTATTTCATACATGGCATTTAATTGAACCAAAAACAATTATACTTTAGTTTAGATTACACAGCAAGGGAATTTATTGTTTAAACATTTTTGGCAAATAAACATTAGGTAGCCTTTGTTTTTTTATTATAAAGTATCCCTCATCTTAGGCATAGTAATTCATTTATTTAAAAAACAAATTACAACCTAAGTATCAAGTTGATTTGTACTTCCAGTCATACCATTTCTCCAGAATAAAGTATGTACATTTGTTGATACCGTTGCTCGATCCCCTTGAAAATAAATATATTTGAAAATTGAGAAACGATAAGAACAATAGTTATAAGAAGTAATTATGTACAAATATGTGCATTTTACTACAGTGTAAAACAATGAATATGGAAAATATAAATAAAAATGTAGTATATACCAACAACAGTGAATATTAATAATACTGAAAGATTATACCAATAAAAGGACAAATTGAGAAAATGCCTAGGCCAATGTCAAAGCATCAAGACCTATAGCAGGTGTATTGAACAGTTCGACCCCACTATCATTAATTAGGAATTTATGAACACATTTTTATATAAGGCTTTATTTCAAATATATTCAACATCTTCTCGTGTATTTCCTGTCCCTCGATTGTCCCAATAACTTAAAATCAGAAGGGATAAAATAAGTTATAAAGATACAGTTTGCAGCACTAGCCACACGATGGTGGCAGAGAGCTGCAGCTTCAAGGCAGAACAGGCCTTTCTCTCTCAAAACATTGACATATTACAGAAATAAAAGCACAGGACTAAACAATAAAATCAATGATGGCTAGCTGCTTCAGTTTGTAAAACATATCTTTCATCAAACAAAAAAAGATATTTCACCAAAGATTTAATATATTTAAATGTTTTTTTTTTTATGTATTGGCTTTCTACTAACTACTAAATATTTTAGCCATGTGACTCTACAACCTCATTGTCAACATGCTTTCAAAACAAGTGACATTTCTGCCATTGGGCAACAGTTTTGGGACTGAATTTAAAAAGCTGACGTCTTTATCTGTCTGGACGTTCAAGCAGTAAAATGAGTGACAGAAGAATAGACGAGAGGGATGAGATGTCTGGAGGACAGCACTCAGTCTTCCTGCAAATCTTTTGCTCTGTGGCTGCTCTTTTGTCCCTCCCTGCCACGCCTCCAGGAGTCGTCTTGGCAACATGTTTTACTACTGGCAGCCATATAAATACGACATTGGCTCCTGAAAACTAGGAAAGCTGTACACAGTAACACACAAAATGCCAGGGACGGAGTGACCAAGGAGTTTTCTGCTTGAAATGTAAATAGGAGGGAATAATGCCCTGTAGCTTTAGAGATTTTTATATATTATTCACCATCATTGTGTTGGACAAGAGAATTGTTTTTGCCGTGTGCAATTGGACTAAAAAAAGGGCACAAAACAAGCTGGATTAGCACATCTGACCCATGATCCGTTGTTTTTTCTTCTCAGCATGGATGCAAATCTGCATGTGGATAAACTGATGGATGAAGAAGAGTCCCGTCATGGCAGGAGGAGAAAGAACAGTCTCCTCAACATGTTGACAGAAACTTGTGGGGGGCTTGAAGCTGTAAGAAGCAGAAGAAAGCATAATGATGGCACGGTGGGTGGAAGAAAATCCATAGGAGAAGAACCAGGTAGAGGCAAAGGAGAGGAAATACAGAGCGGCAGTGAAGAAGGGATGCTCAGTCATGCAGAAGATAAGGAGGATGATGAAGAGGAGAGACTGTGCAAGCAGAGAGTTCTGGGAGTAATGAGGGAGCTCAGTGTTTTTCATTCTGAGAGAGTGACAGCGTGGAGAGGAGTTCTCAGAGATTGTGCCAACAAGTCTCCGCCAGGGGACAGTGATCAGCAGGAAGCGTCCACAAGAGGTACATGAGTTTATCTGACTGGTGCGTGTCTCTAGAAAAAGCTTACTTTGATTGAAGAACAAAAGGAAGTAGTGGAAGTGGAGGTCAGTGGAAGTTTAAACGTATAAGAAAAAGTTGAAATGTCAGAGGAAGTTTAATTGTAAGGATGACAAGGAGTTGAAGTGTATGTTGAAGTTGAAACAGTTTCAGTTGACGTAAAATGTAAGTATGAGAATAAGTTGAAGTGAAAATGACAGTTAAAATATAAGTACGAAAATGTTTTGAAAAACTTAGAAAGACTGTAGTCTTTTTGCTGTCCACACAAATAATAGTTAAAGTATCTAGAATTGACTCTCGAAAATGCAGAAAATTGTAAAAGTTTAAAGTGGACCTATCATGCTATATTTGAATAATATATTGTAGGGCCATACCTATATAAAACATGTCTGCGAAGTTTTTTTTTCAAAATACCAAACAGATCATGCATTTTAGCCATACCTCATTTCGCTCTTTTTTAGCCCTGTTTTTGCAAGGGCTGATTCTGTGAGAAGTCTTCTTCGTTGCTTTTGTGGCAGACTACAGCACCACCTGCAGGCCTGGCATATGTACTACAGCGTCTCCAGTGCTTTCGAACAGCAATGGCCGTGGCTGTCTCCTCCTGATAGGTGGAGAGTTGCCCATATAGGCGGAGCTCCTGGTTTCTGACGTCAGATATATTTCAAATCTGGATCAATCTGTATCAGATCCGTTGCAGCCCCGTTTTTAGAGATTTGGGTACGGAGGAAAAGAGAGGGTTGTGTTTTCTGACACTTGGTGAGTTCCCTGACACACCGGGGACACATATTCATGTATAAAAGACGTACAAAAGTGCATTTTGCATGATAGGTCCCCTTTAACTTTGTTGATGTGATATACAACACATTTCCTCTGTTCTATCTGTTTGTTTTGTTTCAGATACACATTGGAAAGTCAAACCTTGTTCAGACTCCTTCACAGATATTTTTCTGAGTGTTTGGGAGAACATAGATGTCATTATGGACACACTGAACACAATTATAGCTAAACTGGATGGAGAAATCCTCAAATTATGTGCAGAGAATGCCTCAACTGTGGATGCAGAAGTTCAGGAGACCAGAAATATAAAAGAACCAGAGCCTCCTGAAGATGATCAAAATCACCTAAGCTCTTGTGATCCCCTTGAAGCTAACTCTGGGCATAAACAGGAGGATAGAAATGATCAAAATACAATGCCATCACAGGACACTGAGCAAACATCAGACAACAGACTCTGCAGTTCTGACCGCAATGATGTGAAAGAGACGCGGCAAGAATTAGTGGTCAAAAGTGATCAAGGGAGTGATACTGAGGACTGTCATTCTCAAGAAAGAAAGACAGATTTCCTGGAGGGGACAGAAAAAGCAAAAGAGGAAACAAATGAATGGATCACAGTAGGGTAAGTTGACATCATAATCATTATCTTTCCCCCATCAACTAAGGGAGCAAACAGGAATGTGATTCTGAACATGATTCCATTCTTTCCCCTCATTTCCCCTGCTGATACAGAAGTAAACACTCTGCAGTGGCTCAACACCAGGTTCACACACATTGACCACATGGCATCCTTAGCAGGCTATTTCAGGTCATTGTCAGGTCAATGCCCGGATCCGTCCAAAAGCCAAACAAATCCAGAAATCCAGATCAGAGGGAGAGGCCGAGTCTGGGAGAAGCTGATATGAGAATGTGCATGCCACAGCATTTCAGAAATATTTAAGATGGTTGCACTTTTTACTAGAAATATACTTTATACTTTGAGTCACATTAAAGTCATATATATATATATATATATATATAAGGAAGGCGTGTGGTGCAGTGGAGTAGTGCGTTGGTGGTCGGATCACAGGTTCAAACCCCACTGCAGTCAGCATGTCGTTGTGTCCCTGAGACACTTCACCCCAAATTACTCCTGTGGGGATTGCCCACAGTATTGAGTATGTAAGTCGCTTTGGATAAAAGTGTGTAACAAGTGACATGTAATGAATGCAGGGAGACAAATATGCAATTCTTGTTCTTCAGCGCATTATTTTTCAATGTTTACTTCAAAATGTCACCTGCACATCATCAGCATTGTATTTGTGTAAATATGTCTATTCTAAACTGATTTCCAGGCTCAGCGGTCAACAGGGAGACAGCCAATCAGATGTACCGGACACATGCTTCATCAGAGCACCTATGGGTGTGGCTGAGGTCCTGAGATGTGAGGTGGCCGACACCCTGAGCTGCCTGATGGTGACGGGTTCAGAGGAGCTGGTCAGCAGAGTGATCAGGCTCAAAGTTCAGGAGGGAGCTAACGTACACTTCCCCCTGACTGTGGTTGTGCCTTTCTGCGCACATTACCGCGGCAACTACAGGGATGTTGCAGTGAAGATAGTTGACAGGGAGAGGCGGGCAAGCTACGTCACTCCTGTAACCACAGAGGGCATGTATGGAGGTCACAGGGTAACTAAAAGAGATGCTGTGAACTAAAAAGTTATAATCCCTTTTTAACTATGTTACAGTATTTATGAGCGGTACATTTGTTATTGTTACTAAATAAGGTTGGTTTAAATAATACAATTATAACTACAGTTTATAAAAGGCACTTTTGAGTGGTCAACTTCAGAAAGAATTGGACGTGCCTTTCTTTAATTTACTTAAATAAAATGTCAAACATAAGGGGTGCTATTATAGAGCCTTGTGGTCCACCTAATATGATAGTACTTTGAATTTAGAATGATCAACCAAAACCCTTTGTATTCTGTCTGAAAATGTTCTGAACCATCCTTTTGCATCTTTGCTGAAACCATTTCACTTTTCCAGCTGTAAAATTAACATGACTTTAAGAGACCCCAAGGGAAATACAGCTCCACAATGTTGGTGGAAGCAATAATAACTTACATTGTTATAATTGTCCTTGCCTTAAGCCAGACTGGACATCACGGGTAATATTGTTTTCTGTTAATAAATGATTGAACTACTGATAAAAAAAGATTATTCAATTTATTTTCTTTGTACCTGTTTGACAGGGCTCATTTGCAGATGTGAGGGTGTATTCCCTTGGCCTGTTTGCAGTGGTGTCCTGTCTAAAAAGAGAAAATTACACAGTTACCACAAAAGGTTTGTCACTAAAGCTACCCATGGACCCCCGGATTTGCCTGAACTACCTCCCAGGAGCCTTCGCTGCTCCAGTTATAGCACAAACCATGGTAAGGAGGTAACATTACTTTTAACACTAGCGTATCATAACATAAAGCATTGGTTTATTTCACTGATTTGTTATGTATTGTGGGATGTTTGGGAGTATGTTTCAGATCAAGCCTTTCTTGGATAAAACAATGTTCATACAGTATCACACATTGTCCAAAGTGCTGCTTAAATAACAATTATATAATTGTATAAACTTCCTCAGATCCAGCCAGTAGATGCTGTTCTTCTAGCTGCCGTCAAGACTAGGAGCGATGCCTACCACGCGGTGGTGTCTACGAGTCCGTTTCTCTACCTCACCCACCCATCCTCTAAGCCCCTGAGAAGACCCCTCACTCTCACCCTTCCCTGTCCCCCAAACACTGAAAAGAAAAGGCAGACAAGGGGACAAGAAGAGGAGCAAGACCCACAAATGTGGCCTGTCAGTGGTTCTCCATCATGGGATCAACCTGCTTCCCACAGAAGGAGGTGAGTTAAGCGTGTCTTCGTCATGAGATGTGGCTAAAAAAGGGCGACCAGAGATGAATAATTGATACAAATTCCTCAAAGTTGAATTGATGGTCATGTAATCAACTTGATTAAAGAGATAGCCATATAAGTCTGTCAAGTGCTCAGTGCAACTTGAACTGCCTCCCTGATGATTTAGGTCTTGTTAAAAACATAATTTGCTTTTAATGTTTTTGTCAGAGCCTCTGGGAAGTCTAAAGAGATGTCAAACGAGCCGCCGATTGTTCTGGGTTCAAGAGACAAACAGTGGAGCATCCTGGATAAAGTCACAGTCAGGAACCAGCTAAATGGGCTGGTGTCTTTTGAGCTGACGGAGCACGTTGACAGGTTTGAAATCATCATTCGTACAAATCTAAATGGATTAGGAGAATGAGACCAGAGAAGATTAGTTTAGAGTCCTTTTTAAAAAGGTCCAAGGGACAGCTGATCCAAAGGGATATACAGCATCTGGAACAAATACGTTATTCAAGAAATATACACATAATAATAGCACAAACAAAACACACAAAATTAAAATGAGAGATTGTTTTTTATTACAGTTTTTTGGTAACAGAGCTCAGTCATACATTACAAGTTTAGGGACCGCATAGCACTTTGTGGATAAATATTATAATGGAAGACTCAATCCTAGAGCAAACAAGAGAGCCACTGCAGGGACGCAGGAGAAAAGGTATATTTTTCTGATCTCATTAGAAGCCTTGTTGCAGTGCTTGGGAGCCAGTCGGAAGCAGTACAACAATTATTGAGTTGCGTTAAATCAGATATAAAACCAGGATGATTTTCTTTGTGATCGCAGTAGTCAGTGCAGATTTTGTTGTACTTTCCAACCTAAACAGATCACAGCAAAAACTGCAAAATGAGGCAGAAACATCCACAGAAAGACTACAGAGAGTGCAGATAAGCCCAGGGTCAGACTGGAAGGAGGACGCTTATTTGTAGCACCATTTTTGTCAGATCCACTGCTGATTTGTCCATCCAATAAAAGATAAACCTGTCAAACAAACAATATTATATATATAAAAAAAGACTTTATTGATTATCCTAAATAATACATCAGTTGTGTTTGGATGCCAGAAGACTGTAATAATCTTCCATCTCTTACCACATCTCTTTGTTCCCTTGCCTTGCTGATAAAGCTGATCAACCACTGTAGTTGATTTGACGGATTGTAGGTTTTTAGCTTGTTGCTCTTGTTCCCTATGCGTAGGGTAAGAACGTTTTTGCTTGACGCACCACAAATAAGGATGTAATAAATCCTGTACCTGACCACAGAAAAGGGAACAATGTCAGGCACCACAGATTAATAGAAGTGAAAGCAAAACAGTTTTCATTTCATTGTAATCATTTCATTTTGTACCTTCTTGCTAAGATGCAGTTAGCAGAGTCCAGGTGTGTCTGCTTCTCAGGACACCGGACTATAAGCTTGTAATGATGTTGAGTTATTTGCAGTGTTGTTTTCATCATATCAAGGACGCTGTTGAAACTACATCACAAATAGAGGCCATTAAGCAACATTTCATAAAGACATGGTTGGACATTTGGCAAAAAAATGAATGCATATTATTTGTTTTTGATGATAATGATGAATAACTTTATATCTCCCCTCACCTTTCAGTGAAAAACAGCCTTTTCAGTTTTCGTTTCACCACAGACTTAGCCTGTAATGTTAAAAAAAAAAACATTAGTAAACAATTATCATGATATGACAGGAAATTGGAATACTTTCACATTCATTTCACAAAATCAGTCTCAAAATGACTACAAAGACACACAAAACAAGTAAAAAGACACACACAAGGAGGGGGAAAACAACCACAGACAAAAGTTAACTAAAAAAACAATTACGCAGTGACACAAAACAACGACACAGACATCAAATAACCACCGTGAATTGTGTTTCTAATTCAAAAACCCAAAAATAAAAAAAACGAGATTAAACAACTCTTAAGTCTGTGTGTTTTGCTCCTTTGAAGAAGAGGTGGGGGCTTTTGCATGTCTGTGCCAGGCGGTCTTACAATCCCCCCATGAGTCACATGGTGCATGATTTGATGTATTCCTCATAAGATTACAGTAAGAACAGTTAAAGTTGTAGGTTTCTTACAACATGTGTTTTGTGTCGAAGGCCCATGAGCCCCAGGAGTGTGTTTGACAGCTGCTGCAGGTAGGCAGGGTTCTGGGCCGAGGTCACATCCACATACACACTCCCACCAGTGACCGTCATCAGGAGGCCCCCGACCACATAGAGGAAGTAGCAAATATTGTCCCTGACCACAGAAAGACAGACAGTTAAGGAGGGTTGATTTACATATGTGAGTGTTATTGTTTATGTTTGAAGTCCTGTGAAAAATCCTTACTTGTGGACAATAAGCTCTGTTGGACACTTTAACATGAAGAGGTTTGATGCGAGACTCCACAGGAACAAATCTATGGGAAACATGTTTATGCAAAGATAACAGTAACATTTTAGAATGGTTTCAGATGCATTTTGTTTAATACATGTAAGATATTTGAGGTTACAGCTATGTGATTATATTCCAAATGTATATTTTTATAGCTATGTTTAGTGGAGAGAGATAGGGGCCAGATTTAGCTTGAAGCTATTAACACATACAATAACAGAGAAGCACTAAACAAACTAGACGTATCCAGTAATAGAAAAGCAGTACTTCACATATCATGAAAGCAGAAAATCTAGATAATTAGCGACAGTGTTTCCATTCAACCTCCTTAGCCCTACTTTGCTATAGTTGCTAATCCCCCTAACTTGTAAACATCACACATGCAATCATCACATTATTTCTTTACTTGCCCTGTTTAAAATAAACTCAAATACATTGACAAGAAGAAGAACTCACCACTCAAGCAACTTCTGTTCCACTTCTTCAGGGTTTTACACTTCTCATTTACACACAGTGTAGGTGCAGCATGACACAAAGTGAAATGGAGAACAATACAACTAACATGACTTAGAAAAGCTTTGCTTCACACAAAGGGTTTAAGTCAGAAAGTCAGTATGGATAAAAGGGGGGTTAAATATTTGGAATACCAGGCTTTCACATTTCTATCAGAAGGTAAGAACATGGTGAAAATGGAAGTTATCTTTCAAGAATTCATAAACAACAAGAATGTGAAGGTATTTAGTTGTGTTTCTTCAGTTTCTATGAAATTATGTGAATTTATTTTGGATTTATCTTTTAAAAAATGATTGTGAAACACTTTTGGATAACTGTCATTAGCATGTGAAAAGGTAATGCTGTCAGTTAACCATTACATTAGATTACCAGGCCATCATTCACAGCATGGTTAATAAAGTAAATATAAAAAACAGTAAAGTTTAAAACAAAAGTTAAATACTCTTCTGCCATTTTTAAAGATTTAACAGTAAAAATATTTAGTGTTTTTCAGTCCAGTTTAGAAAAATGCAATTACGAATATTCTACCTAATATACTGTGAACTGCTCCTATACTACAGATAGGTTCTCATTATTGCTCTCCTCTTTCTTATCTTCAACAGACTTCTACAGTATGTAATAAGAATGTTTTATTCTATCTTAAGTATATTAAGTCTGTATTAGCAATAATCTCATATCTCCTCTGAGCTTAACGCCTTACCTCCCCCTGCCTCAGACTGCTGGTGGTGCGTCTCCTGTCTCCCCTGCAGCCTCTCCACCTCTCCTCCCTGGCAGAGGAGCTGGAGGAGTCGGTCTGCTGCCATGCGGTCACCGTCGTCCTCCAGCGGAGACAGGATGAGCCGCACGACCTCCTGGTGGCTGTCCTCCCCAACAGAGACCTCAGCTGGGAGACGTCCAAACTGCGAGCCCAGGGATACAGCAGGCTGTCGGAGACATCGGAGGAGATCTCCATGTGTGAGGGAGACCAGCTCCTCCTGCGCTTCAGCGGCAACATCACCTCCTCAGGTAGGGTGTGAGGATAAACTAGAGGCATGATGAAAAGATGCATGCACACTAATGAAAAAGGCTCTCAAGTCATAAGAAAAGAATGTGCAATATATTAAAAAGAAAAGCACAAATAAATTCTTATAGGACCACAGTCACTTTCTCAACCTTCTCCTAATTGTTGTTAGTCTGAAGACCTTTTAAGGATTGTATTTTATTGATGGTGATAATGTGCTGGTGGATGGATAATACCATTGGTAGAGGCATTTATTAATCCTTATACCTTTGGACATTTTGGGCTTTTCCTATAGCACCATCATTGGGTCAAAATCATTGAACAAAATATATATATATCAGGACTTCAATGTCTAATCAACTCTTAATGACAGTATATCAGCATTGCTAGCATTTATCTCAAGCACACAGCAGCTGTAGATCCTTTTCGGTTTCAAATGTTGTTAGCTTATGAAATTTCGTTAATTACATTTTATTTATATTATCAGAAGAACCTTTTCTTACCGAGCTACGGAAGAACATACTTTGTTGTTTTTTTTTGTAAAAAGTTACATTTTTCCCTCCATGTCCCTTCTCTATCTGCATATGTTGTTATCTTAAGTGAATGCATTTTTGTTTGCACAGGCAGCCAGCAGAATGCATGAAATCACCACTCATGTATGTTTGTTTTAATGTTATCACTTGAAGACCATGAATATTTGTTCAGAATGTTGAAGATTTTGTGTGTTCTTGTTTTACAAAAGGAACTCAAAACGAAGGACATGATGTCCCAAACGAGCGAATCACCTTCCACAGTCAGCAGAAGAATCACCTCATGGTGCGTCTGACAGAAGTGGACCCGTTTGGGAACTACAGCTCCCCCCACTACAAGGGCACAGCAATGTTCTACAAGGTCACCAGAGTTCAGCTGGAGTGGCGAGGTGATAAACTGGTCGCCATGGACACAAAGCTCCTTGGAGACCCCGTCTGTAAGCTGTCTCTGACTTTACCCAAGGTGCAGAAACATTCCCAAGGAATCATACATTAGAAAAGCAGTTTAAGACGTTCACAATAAAATATATGCTATTTTATTCTGTTGCATCGCAGAAAGTGAGAACCATTAATCGGCCAATCACAGCCAGGGTGAGGTTACGCGAGGACACAGGTGGGTGAAAGGTTTTGGTGTACTTTACTTGAGTTTTTTCCCTTTTCCCCACTTTATACTTATACCCAATAACAATTTAGAATTGTCAAAGCTTTTGTTAGTGAATTTGAATTAAAATGTATACATTTGATCTTGCATGTATTTCTGGTATTTTTTATTGATATATCTTTGTTCAGTGTGTTGATTAAATATGATCTCCACCATATGTCTGTGCCCTTAACAACAAAATACCCCCCCCCCCCCCCCCCAGACTCCCTGTCAGACTCTCTTCTCCTCTGGCTGTCGGCGGAGCTTTCAGAGGAAGAGGTCTCTCTGCTGGTGGTCTCCCTGCGTCTCCGTCGAAGCGCCGCTCAGCTGGTGAAGCTGCGGGCCGGGGATAGCCTCTCCACCCAGGCCTTCCACCTCCTGGCCATGTGGAGGAGGGGGCTTCCTGCTGCCACCCACCATCTCAAAGCCTCTCAGCTCGCCCACTGTCTCGCCAAGAGCGGAAGGCCGGACCTGGCCAGGGAGCTGCTGCTGCGCCAGGCCGCCGTCCCCAGCCAGGGATCACTGGAATAGATGAGAAAGTAGAAATCACACTATGATTGTTGTCAAGAGCATCTGGGCCTGCCAAGTGTGAAGGTGGCAGTATTCTGTTTATCCACTAGAGGTCAGCATCGTACTGTGAGTGTATGTGCTCCCTTCCAGATTTGTGTCGATTATTTTTGAGGCATGAGTAAGTTCACAGAGTGCATTTAGAGGCCTGAAGACTTAATGTCATACAGTTAAAACGCAAAAAAGCTTATTGTATACCTCAAATTAGTATAGAAAGTGATATTTGTCTGCTTACCTCAATTGGCAATTGTCTAATTGTTGTCTTGTGACCAAACTCCCGTCTGGGTTAAGTGGTGCTGGTTATATTTCTAAGCATTGTATGTGACACGTGACACTTATTAGCATATTAGTGATAGGCAATACAACTTACCTCATATCTTGTGTTTTAATGCAATTAATCTCTGGATACGAGCAGGAAGATGTATCTGTACTTGATTCAGAATGTAATGCTATTTGAATACATTATTAAATTATAAAGGTATTACTTTTCTTGAAGTTACCTAAGCTGTAGCTGATACTTTAACACACTCTTAATGTTAGCTTGTATTACAACTTTTCTAAGCTTATTTGTTCGTAGATTTTTCTTTTTCTCATAAGCATTCTCTGCAGCGTCTTCACAAACTCACTTCATTTCGTAGTGTATCTCCTCAGACAGGTGATTCACATGAGCAGTCATCCATCTCTTCTCTGTGTAAACAGTTGCTGGCACCGAGCTGCGACCTATTTTTAGCTCCATGACACGAGTCGTCTTTAAGGCTTGACAGTGTCTGTTTATGATTGATTGGACAACAACAGCTTGTTTCTCAGCCTAAGAAGGTGCATCTATGTTTGGATACGAGTTGGAAAAAACATGGAAGATATATGAATGATTCATAACTGTTTGAAAATTCTTCTTTAAAACAAAAAATCTGATATGCATACACATGCTTTGCATATTTGTAAATGTGCATTCTAAAAATTGGTTATTTAGTAACATGTTTGGAGTTTTTGAACATCACATGGTCTTTACTGTCATGTTGGTATAAAGAAAAAATGTCTTTGAGCTGTTTAGATTTGAGGCCTAAAAGCTTGTGAGAAATGACAGAACGTCTATTTTATATTTCTATATCTTCTCCTGTTAAACCTGATCTGATAACAAAGATTGTGTGAAATGATTCAGCCAATAACGGGACCTTGAGGTGAGATGAATTCCTCACCCATTAAGTTTCACATATTAATTGTATCTTTGGTTGAAGTCCGTTTTATGCAGCGCTACAATGAATCCCTTGTACAACTATATTGTGGGTAGCAGAAGTATGGTCTTTCCTTTTTAATGACGCTCGCAAGGGGTTTTCTTTTTCATCCATCTTCAGAGCCTCTCGCTCCAGCTGTGTGACATTATGCAGGCTCTGAGCTGGAGCATGGGGGTAATGATAGATGCCATGTGCCCAGGTGGGGGGTAGGGGGCTTCCCGTGGATAACACCCAGTGCTACACACGAAGGGGGGCGCGCTTAATGAAGTACGGAATGGTAACAGGTGTAGCCGATAGTCGCTCCTGCTACTTTCTGTCGCCTCCCATCGTGAACATTTTCCTTTATATCTTGCCCTTCGATTGTTCCTCAGCTGCACACATATTGAACTATACGACTAATATTTCTCTTTCAAACGCTTTACAATTCCTTTGCCATTATACCCACTTTTCTCTCCCTTCAGTGTGGACATGTGAGTCATCTCTAGCAGGAGGGTTTTGGAGCCTTGAGTGTGTGCCAGAGGGGGGTATCATTAGTCTGCAGAGGGCCATCCAACACACACACACACACACACACACACACACACACACATTGAGGAGCATGCAAGAGGTAAATGTCACAGAGGGGGCTCCTACAGCGCTGGGAAATCGTTTCCCCTCTCATTTAGTTTCCCTTCTGTCCCCTGCTACATTATTGAAAAGGCCACGCAGCAAGGCATGCTGGGAGGTTGCCCATCGTCCAGGGTGTGGGGGTAGGGGGTACAGAGGGCTGATGAGGTGAAGAATTCCCATGGTGTGGCAGCATAAAGAGATTCTGATTAAAACCTCATCACTCGTTTCATCATTCTCTTCCTCCTTCAGAGCGCTTCTTCTTTAAGGAATCCTCACTTCCTCAGTTTCAGTTGTCGAGGTAGGACGCGATTGAGGTGCAAAAACAACCGTGAATGAACATATGCACTGTCAGAGCTCATCCTGCGAGTTATTAGACCGTATAATTCACATGGGGGAAACTTTTGTATCACATCAAAACCTCAAATGTGTTAAATTGGCAGCATAAGAGTTGTGAAAGCGGAAGGCAATCGTTATACGAGTGTATCTGTGAGTTGTTTGGCTGATTATTTTATGATTCACGGCTGCTGTTTTCACCCAGGCAATCATACACACCTACTGCCTCACAGTAGACTAATTTAGATCCAAGCACAGCCAGGTTCTCATAAAGATTAGATGTTCAGATACATTGTTAAATGCTTATTGGTTCCAGTCTCTGAACAACACAGTGAAGTTATGAACATGAAACAATCTTAATTAAACTAACAGTGCAAATTAACTTCTTCTTTCAACTTGTGTTCTTCCGAAATGACTCTAGACTCATTAAAGATATTGTTTTGGGAAAGGCTCTTTTGCATGATTTGCTTTCTTGCTAGTTAGATAAGAATATGAATGCCCCTTTTGTGTGTTGGGTAAATATGAAGCTACAGCTATCAGCCAGCTAACTTAGCTAGGACCCAGACTGGAAACAGAGCAAGACAGCTAGCTAGTCTATGTCCAAATGTAACGTGTGAACCCAGCACATGCAAAGCTTGATTATTAACACATAAAAAGCGTAAAAGAAACACATTAGGGGAGAGTGGTAAGTTGAGCCATTTTTTAGTTATGCTGTCCTCTTAGCAAGGAGAAATGATACATAGTAAAAATGAAAACACACGCCTAATTCAGGATGTCTCCTATCAATGGCAATGATAATAATTAATATTTGATCAAGGGCAGTGAAAATATTACTTCTTTAAAAAAAAAATGTCTTGTGGCTCAACTTGCCCCGGTGTAGGGTAAGTTGATCCAGGTCAGGGGGTAAATTGAACCACTGTTCAAACCTGGGCATACCTGTTCAAACCTGGGCATACCTACAGTACAACAAATCTTAAAGGTAACTATAAACAATAAATAACAAACCAAATACAAGTTTAGTTTTTCAAATATTTTTAATATAAATTTCGATTGAATTGATTGATTTTTTTTAACATGTTAAAAGGAAAAGTAATCATACAAATGGTGATACAATTTCATACATCTTACCAATCAAACACAGGGTAAATTCAACTTTAAATGTAGCCTACAATGAGTTCTTATTATCAACTTGGCCTACTTTCATTCATTTCTCCATTGAAAAACTGGCTCAACTTACCCCACGGCCCATGGTTCACTTTACCCCATAGCCACCATTTTAGAAGAAATAGCCTAGCATTACAATTCAGAGTCATCTTTAGCTTAATGGTTTAATACACTGCCAACACATCAACATATACAATATATGTGTTTAAACCTGTATACTGTTTTTTGTAGGCTACATGACAGCCGATATAGCTGACATCTAGAAAATGTACTTTGACGACCAAAAAACGTTTTTTTGTAAAAATGTTTACTTACCAGACCACAATGAGCATCTCTCTTTCACAGGCAATGAGAAATGGGTGGAGCTTGCATCATTTCTGGTCACTTGATTACAACTATAAGGCGTTGCCTGGTTACAGGGGGTGGTTCAACTTACCCACTGGCTCAACTTACCCCCTTCTCCCCTACTAGTTTTTGGTTCTCTATGGTTACTTCCTGTTTCCTTTGTTTACAGTTGTTATGCTAGCTAGCTTGCTGCTGGCAATATCTTCCTATTCACTGAACAAACATTTTCAAAAGTTGTTGTTGTTATTTTTATCCGAATGGACATACATTTCAAAATGTACCCTGGAAAACACTAGTGTTACAGCATCATGAGGTCCCGAGGGCGAGGGAGGTCACTGTGCGGTCTTGAACCCTTTGATGGGTGAAAAATGGAGACAGCTCCTGTGTGGCTGCCCGCTCATACAAAAACAAGATGGACCAAGTCTCAAGGGGTGATCCTCTGACTCACAACTTGGCCTGACTCCAGCCCACTATATCTCTGAGTGTGTGTGTGTGTGTGTGTGTGTGTGTGTGTGTGTGTGTGTGTGTGTGTGTGTGTGTGTGTGTGTGGTGTGTGTGTGTGTGTGTGTGTGTGTGTGTGTGTGTGTGGGGGGGGGGGGGGGGGGGTGGTGATGAAGGGGTAGAGAGAGGGAGCTCTCAGGTGTACTGCTCATTGGTCCGTGACAAACTCTTCATTTGTACCTCAGTGGCAGACAGGACAGTTGGGTGTCAGTGGCCTGAAAGGACCTGAATGCCCGTCGTGAAGAGGTGTAGCGATAAAAGCAAGTAGAAACAGATTTAGCGAATAAACGATGTGGCATGTGACTTCAACATCCAAAAAATGTTCTTCATCATTTTCCAGAGATGTGATCCCATTCATAATGTGATTCAGACAGTAAATGTCATATTTTCTGGCTGGTGTTTTTATATAAACAATGGATCACATGACTTGCTCATATAAATGATACAATAATATATATACAGTGGGGCAAAAAAGTATTTAGTCAGCCACCAATTGTGCAAGTTCTCCCACTTAAAAAGATGAGAGAGGCCTGTAATTTTCATCCTAGGTACACTTCAACTATGAGAGACAGAATGGGGGGAAAGAATCCAGGAAATCACATTGTAGGATTTTTTAATGAATGAATTGGTAAATTCCTCGGTAAAATAAGTATTTGGTCACCTACAAACAAACAAGATTTCTGGCTCTCACAGACCTGTAAATTCTTCTTTAAGAGCCTCCTCTGTCCTCCACTTGTTAACTGTATTAATGGCACCTGTTTGAACTCGTTATCAGTATAAAAGACACCTGTCCACAACCTCAAACAGTCACACTCCAAACTCCACTATGGCCAAGTCCAAAGAGCTGTCAAAGGACACCAGAAACAAAATTGTAGACCTGCACCAGGCTGGGAAGACTGAATCTGCAATAGGTAAGCAGCTTGGTGTGAAGAAATCAACTGTGGGAGCAATTATTAGAAAATGGAAGACATACAAGACCACTGATAATCTCCCTCGATCTGGGGCTCCACGCAAGATCTCACCCCGTGGGGTCAAAATGATCACAAGAAGAGACGGTTAGCAAAAATCCCAGAACCACACGGGGGGACCTAGTCAATGACCTGCAGAGAGCTGGGACCAAAGTAACAAGGCTACCATCAGTAACACACTACGCCGCCAGGGACTCAAATCCTGCAGTGCCAGACGTGTCCCCCTGCTTAAGCCAGTACATGTCCAGGCCCGTCTGAAGTTTGCTAGAGAGCATTTAGATGATCCAGAAGAGGATTGGGAGAATGTCATATGGTCAGATGAAACCAAAATAGAACTTTTTGGTAAAAACTCAACTAGACGTGTTTGGAGGAGAAAGAATGCTGAGTTGCATCCAAAGAACACCATACCTACTGTGAAACATGGGGGTGGAAACATCATGCTTTGGGGCTGTTTTTCTGCAAAGGGACCAGGACGACTGATCCGTGTAAAGGAAAGAATGAATGGGGCCATGTATCGTGACATTTTGAGTGACAACCTACTTCCATCAGCAAGGGCATTGAAGATGAAACGTGGCTGGGTCTTCAGCATGACAATGATCCCAAACACACCGCCCGGGCAACGAAGGAGTGGCTTCGTAAGAAGCATTTCAAGGTCCTGGAGTGGCCTAGCCAGTCTCCAGATCTCAACCCCATAGAAAATCTTTGGAGGGAGTTGAAAGTCCGTGTTGCCCAGCGACAGCCCCAAAACATCACTGCTCTAGAGGAGATCTGCATGGAGGAATGGGCCAAAATACCAGCAACAGTGTGTGAAAACCTTGTGAAGACTTACAGAAAACGTTTGACCTCTGTCATTGCCAACAAAGGGTATATAACAAAGTATTGAGATTAACTTTTGTTATTGACCAAATACTTATTTTCCACCATAATTTGCAAATAAATTCTTTAAAAATCAGACAATGTGATTTTCTTGATTTTTTTTTTCTCATT